GGGGGGGGGGGGGGGGGGGGTTCCGGCTTCCTGGCTTAGCCAGTGGCCCTGGTGGTCCCCCATCCCAAGCTGAGGCTGAAGCAAAACTGCTCTTCCTGCTAATGGGGCGTCAAAACCTGTTTCGAGTAATGTACGCAAATCAGCAGGATAGAGTTCAAGACAGGCAGCGCTGGGAGAGTCCAGAACATTTATCGAAATCACGTGCTGGAGAGAATTATTCATGGGGGAGAAGAAGTCGGATGAGTTTTTTCTCCCTGTCCCTTTTGCTCTGGGGACTTTTCCAGTGTTGAGATGTGCAGAGGGAGATTCGTGGTAGTGCACGGTAGCCAAAGGTCAGGCGTCCAGTGGCGCCTTTCCCCACTAACAAATCGGCTTAAAAGGCTTCCGCTTTCGTGAGCTGCAGCGGGCGCTTTGTTTGGGAAGCTGCGTGGATCTCCAGGTGGGTGTTTTCCCATCATGTCCATGCTCCATGTGCCACAAGCTTTCCTGCACCACCTTCCAGGGATGAAGAGTGGCAATGCTGTATACATTATGTGGCTGACCGAGGGCAGGCCCAGAGCTGGCTGTTGCATGCCGGTGGCACACTGCGGGATTCTGCAGTGCGACGTTTCTGTTCGCAGGGGAAGAAGCACCGTATTGCTAGCCCTTCTGGACATCAAAGGACACGTGAAGTGCCTGTGTTTGCTGAGACCATGGAGAAGAGCCCTGAGTGTGTGCGTGCGTGTGTGCAAGAGCAAGGAGAAAACAAACGCAAGTGGGCAAGCCTCTGAGCACTGCCTCGGATACCCTGCAGGCTGGTTTTTCTGTTTTTTGGTTGGTTTTGCACCCAGCACCTGGCCAGTTTGCCCAAAAGAGGAACCAAACCAGACCCAACCGTGGCTCGCTGTGCCCTGGGAGCCAACGTCTGGCAAAAGATGTAGTTAAGCCAAGGTCCACCTGGGCACATTTCATCCATAAAATTTGCGAACTTGAACTTGGCCTGGATGTCAGATTTCCCCTCGGTAGGCCTTTCGCAGGTGAGGCAGGTGCAGGGCAGGCTGCAGGCTGGACTTCCAAAGAAGGCCGAGCCCCCGCCAGAATCGGCAGCTCCTTTGTGCGACCTTCCCTCGCAGCGGGCAGCCGCCTCAGCCTGGCTCAGCCCCAGCCTTGTGGGGGAGGAAGGGGGAGGAGC